TGCTAGTCTGGGTTATATGGCTATGTGCAAGGGCCCTCAGTCTTACTGGAACCAGTAAGAGAGAAATGCTAGGACCTGGGAGAAAGAGGAGGTGCATCTACACCAGGCATCCTCAAACTGCTCCTCTGTTTTGGCCTCCAACTCCAAGAAGCTCTTGTTGATTTTCGGGCTCCAAAACAAAAGAACTGAAAACAACCCTCCCAATTTTGTGAGGCTTACAAAAAAACAAAGACTCGGGGGCTCCAAAGAAAGCTGGGACACAAGGTTTCCCCCGAATGCACATCGCTAATGAGCACTTGAATTCTGGTGAGGTCATTTTTAGCTGGGAAAGAGTGAACATTAGATTTGAGTGAAAGTACTCTCTTCTAAAGGCAATTAGGCATCCTGCCCAGGCATCTTCAGCCTTCCAGATGTTTTGGACTTCCAACTCCCACAATTCCCAGGCCTGGATAGCTGTGCTTTGGCATGCAAGGCCATGCTCCGACTTGACTGAGAGAACATATGGCTCCCCCAATAGATGGCATAGACAAACTTGGGCCCTCAGGATGTTTTGAACTTCAACTCCCACTATTCCTAACAGCCTCAGACTCCTTCCTATCCCACCTCAACCGCTTAAGTAAAAGGTCTTCAGGTGCTTTCAACTTCAGCTCCCACAGTCCCTAACAGCTGTTTGTTTTTTTGTTGTGTCAGGAGTAACTTGAGAAACTGCAAGTCGCTTCTGGTGTGAGATAATTGGCCGTCTGCAAGGACATTGCCGAGGGGACGCCTGGATGTTTTATCATCCTTGTGGGAGGCTTCTCTCATGTCCCCGCATGAGGAGCTGGAGCTGATAGAGGGAGCTCATTTGCGCTCTCCCCAGATTCAAACCTGCGACCTGTTGGTCTTCAGTCCTGTCGGCACAGGGGTTTAACCCACTGCGCCACCTGTCGGCACAGGGGTTTAACCCACTGCGCCACCGGGGGGTCCATAACAGCTGGTAAGTTGGGTGGAATTTCTGGGAGTTGAAGTCCAAAATACCTGGAGGCCAAAAGGTTGGGAACCACTGCTGTAAGGAATGGTGGGTGTTGAAGTCCAAAACATCTGGATGGCCCAAGCTTGCCCATGCCTGAACTACACTGTAGAATCAACACACTTGAACTGCCTTGGATCAATGCTATGGAATCATGGGAGTTGCAGTTTGGTGAGGCACCAGAGACAGAAAAGGCTTAAATAGCTTACAAAACTACAAATCCCAGAAAGTAGTTTAAAACTGTGACAGTTTAGTACAGATAGACCAGGCATGGCCAAACTTGGGACCTCCAGGCGTTTTGGAGTTCAGCTCCCACAATTGCCACAACGCTTAAGTGGCTGAAGGGGGAAAGGAAATGGCCTGAGGCTGTTAGGCATGGCGGGAGCTGAAGGTCCAAAACATCTGGAGGGAAGGCCCAAGTCGGCCCATGCCTGCCCCCCAGCCTCCATGGGCTGCCAGGCCCGGCTTACCCTCTTCTTCGTCCTGGAAGCTGAGGAGCTTGAGGCTGCCTCGCGGGGGCGCCGGGAGGGGCGGGGCCTCCTTGCCCTTGTTCTTCCGCTCCTTCGCCTTGAGCACGAGCCCGTTGTTTCCGGTCGGTTGCGAAGGCGGCGGCGGAAGCGGAGGGAGAACGGCGGCCGGGGGCGCTGCCGGAAGCGGGGGCGCGGCGCTGCCAAAGGCGAGCCTCCCCCCGCCGCTGCTGCCGGGAGGGACGAGGGGGAGGCAGCCCGTGGGGAGCGGCAGGAGCGGCGGCTTCGGGGCCGGAAGGGATGGCGGTGGCTGAGGGGTCAGCTCGGCCTCCCCCTCGGGCCCAGCCCCGCCTGGCTGAGATGAGGCCTGCGCCTGAGGCGGCGGCGGCGGCTCCTCGTCTCTCTCATCCTCCTCCTCTTCCTCGGACTCGTTCCGCTTCCGCACGTTCACGCGCCGCGCCTTGCGGAACATTCCGCCTCACCGACACCGACGCGAGCGAGCGAGCGAGGGAGCCTGTCAAGCGCGCAACCACCGCAACGGCCTCCAGGGCGCATGCGCGCGCACTGCAGTGGCGTCACCTCTGCCGCCCAGCCAGCCCCCACAGCGCCCTCTACCGGTCTCTTAGGCGGGGAAGGAAACCGTCGGCCCTTGTTCTACCACAAAGTCCGCACCCGGGGGATAGAACGCCGCCTCGCGTCACCATAGAGCGAGGAGAAAGAGCGACGGGCAGGACGCTTTGGAGAGCGAGCGGCCATTTTGAGAGCGCGGGGCGGGAGAGGGATTACGTCAGCGCTCTTGTGGGGAACGCGGGAAAAAAACTGGAGAGACATAGACAGGCAGAGACGCGTTCAATAGGTGTGATTCGAGGAGAGGGGTTTCCTTTTTTGAAGGTGACTGTTGAAGGCGATATTCTGCATTGTAGAATTAATCCAGGCAGCTTGGCCTTCAGCAATCCTTGCATGTCCCGGGTCTTCTTTTGCAAGCCCATGCATTAGATCAGGCATGGGCAAACCTCTGCCCTCCATGGGTTTTGGACTGCCACTCCCACCATTCCTAACAGCCTCAGGCCCCTTCCTTTTCCCCCTCAGCCGCTTAAGCTGAGGCTGTTAGGAATGGTGGGAGTGGCAGTCCAAAACCCATGGAGGGCCCAAATGTTTTCTCTTTATTTCTAAACTTACTACAGCATCCAAAACACCCGGACAATGGGAATAGATAAAGAAAGGAGAACTTTGTGGGTTCACAAAGCTTAGGGACAGAGTTGGGGTTTCTCAGGTAAATCAGGAACAGAGTTAAAAGTTTATTTCAATGTCATGGGATTAATCTCAGGCCCCTTCCACACAGCCGAATAAAACCCCACGTTTTCTGCATTGAACTGGAATATATGACCATGTGGACTCAGATAACCCAGTTCAAAGCAGATATTGTGGGATTTTCTGCCTTGATATTCTCAATTATAGCTATGTGGAAGCACCCTCAGCTTTTTGTACAACAATGATTCTCAGCCTGCCTAAATCTAACAGTGTATTGGACTTCTATGGCTGACGGAAAATAGGACCCCTGTTATGAACCAAAGTTTGGAGTCTTTATAAGAACATAGTTGGAAGGAACTCAGTGGGGGAAAGGGGTCAAAGAAGTTATTCACGGGTTATTCATGAATCCAGTTGTAGTTATGTGCCATCCAAACCTATGATGGCCCTAAAGGAAACGATCATGGGGTTTTCTGGAGCTAAGAGTGTGACTTGCCCAAAATATCCATTGCCAAGTGGGAAATTGAATCCCGATCTCCAGATTTATAGTCCAGCACTCAAACCACTACAGCAGTGGTTCTCAATCTGTGGGTTCCCAGGTGTTTTGGCCTACAACTCCCAGAAATCCCAGCCAATTTACCATCTGTTAGGATTTCTGGGAGTTAAAGGCCAAAAACATCTGGGGACCCCAGGTTGAGAACCACTGCGCCACACCATGATGGCTCCATATCTACTGAAATATCCCAAAGGCAGCAGCAGGAAAGAGTTTTTCTTCTCCAAGGGCCCTTCCAAACAGCCACAAAACCCAGAATATTAAGGCAGAAAACACCACAATATCTGCTTTAAACTGGGTTATCCACACTGCCATATATTCCAGTCCGAAGCAGAAAATGTGGGATTTTATTCAGCTGTGTGGAAGGGGCCCAAAGTGTTTAAACACAAACAGTGTTATTACTGGAAACACCCAATTGGATACAACTGATATTTGTTTTGCTAGTTTTTCAGTTCTTTTTTGTAGCATTTTTTTACACACTGCCTAATACACTGGTCCTCAAACATTTTAAGAAGAGGGCCAGTTCACAGTCCCTCCGACTTGGAGGCCAGACTATAGTTTTTTAAAAATATGAACTGATTCCTATGCACACTGCATACATCTTATTTGTAATGTCCAAAATATTAAAATACAGTACAACATTGAAAATGAACAATTTGAACCAAAAAGATGTAACCAGTCTTTCAATGGGAAGTCTGGGTCTACTTTTGGCTGATGGGAGAGTCATATTAATTAGGATTGTTGTTGCGTGCCTTCAATTCTAAAGTTTAGGATGAGGTCCAGATAAATGACCTTCATTTGGGGACCCCTGGCTTAATGTATACTTATTGTTCTATCCACACTGATTTGATACATTATTCAAATTTTCTCTTCATCATTGCTACTTTCATCATTGCACTTTCATCATTGCTACTGTCTCCATTATTATTATTTTTTCATATTGTCTTGTAAATACAGTAGCTCCCTTTGTAACTAGAGGGCAGTATAATTTCACTTTCCAGTTATTATAAGTTCCCTTCTACATAGAAAGTATGGTGTAATATTTTACATTCCTGTTTGGAATTATTGGCTGTAATGCAGAGAAATGACTTTTGGATGCATTCTGATGTCGATCCCATATTAATTGGACACCGAAATTATAGATAGTTAAATGTTAGGTTTTGCCTTAGGGAGAAATAGGAAAAATCGAGAAAAGAGGATGATAAGGACAAACAAAGCAATGTGAATAAGAAATAAACTAGTCACATTATAAGACATTAGTGAAAGATCTGTTTTATCACCACACACATATTTTAAAACAGGGTAGCAGTGCAAAAAATAATTTAACGATTACAAAGTTCTTCACAACTGTCTTCCACTGATTATAAATCAACCACAAGAATTAAGGAAATAATTAAAAAACAAGAAAGTTTTGTTGAGTAAATATACACATTGTAAAATCATATATAAAGATACACAATCATATTTCGCCATGAGTGATCACCTGTAGATACAGTCTTATTCAACTGTGTACTGGGTTTCATATCACAAATAAAAATCATATTTCAAAGAGCAGTACCCAAGGGGAATTATTAAATAGTATCAAGTCATAGTCTTACAAGAAGAGATACGTGTATGATGACTACGCATGAAAGTCATCTCTAAAACTATGTCATGCTTTGTCTGAAAACATTTGGCTTGGAGGAGAAAGGTATCTTAATGCAACAGTAGAATTTGCTCAGTACTATTTTTATTTCATGTATAATATCTTACAATGTATGTGTGTGTGTTTGTGTAGTTCAAAGTTCTATGTCTTGGAGCAATTCTATAAAATTTATTTGGCATTGATGGCCAGCACAAATATTTCATCCATAAGCCAAAGAAATACATTAAGCAAAAATGGAAAAGGAAGGGGCCTGAGGCTGTTAGGAATTGTGGGAGTTGAAGTCCAAAATACCTGGAGGGCCAAAGTTTGCCCATGCCTGGAGTCTTTTCTATCCTCTGGAGGAAGAATTGGAGTGGCTTGTATGTGTACTTCCTTTTCTGCCATGTGCTTTGCTATCTGCCATTTTTAGAGACCTTGTCATGATTCTCTGCATATGTAATCCATCACCACTCTTGTGTGTGAGGGTTTTACTGTAGTTGTGAGTATCTTTGCATACTAAGGGAAGACTTGTAAATATTTATAAGTAGCAACTAAATTAAGAATAAACTTCCAAAGGACTTTGGATGAAAGTCAGAGTGTTTATTCAATTTGATGAGCTACTGTACAAGGCCAGAGGCTGTGATATAACATCTCTGCTGTGACAAGGACTCTGCAGTGTTTTAGGGATTGGAATTAATTGCTTGCCTTTGAGACATTCTGTCCCATTGCACAGCTTTGATAGGATTGAATTCACGTTCCTACCTAGTAGGGGTGTAGTGTTTTATACTCTACTTCTCCTCTTTTCCAACCCCTCCCCCACTAACATGGTCTTTGTAGCATATAAACTTCAATGGAAGGTTGTACATTTGTAGTTGAAAGGTAGTTTACAAAAATATGAAATCTAAGGCCCCTTCTACAGGGTGAGGCAGCATAACTTCCTTTTTTCAAAACTTAATAAAACCCATTGTATGAATCAGAATTCTTTTTATAATGTAGGCACATACCTAAAGTTTTGTTTTATGTAGTTTTGAAAATTAAACTAGGTAGGTGACGTCCCCCATTCTCCATACACTGAGTAAACTGATTTCTGGTGTTTTTCATGACTCTCGCCAGCATAGCAGGCGTTATGTTGGCAATTTCTTCCTGGATGTTGGTCCTCAAATCTTGTAGGGTCCTTGGATGGTTCACATAAACACGGGATTTCAAAAAAAAAACCCATAGAAAAAAATCACAAGGGGCCAAATCTGGAGAGCGGGCCGGCCACTCCAAATCCGCTCGAAATGTAGGCCTCAACGGCAAAAGCACGCTCCTCACTGTTCCAACACATGATGGTGACTGAACTGTGTCAGGACAAAACTTTATACTCCTGCCTCTGGAATAAGACCACTAGCGCTCCGCTATGTCTTCAACCGACTGAATGGCGCGCATTTTAAAAAAGGAAGTTATGCTGCCTCACCCTGTACAATGCCATATAAAATCCAGATTATCTGCTTTGAACTGGATTATATGGTGGCGTGGATTCATATAGTCTAATTCAAAACAGATAATATGGATTATCTACTTTGATAATTAAGAACTAATCTTAATTTCTACTTCCTAGAAAAAGTAATAGCATTTTATCATGGCCCATAACTGCACTGCAGAAATGGCCAAGGATATTGTTTCAGTAAATAAATGTTACAATGTTGCTGTTATTTCTAGTGAAGTATGTATCAAAATGTGGCAGATGTGGAAAGCGTTCAGTGATGTTTGAAATATTTTCCACACTGTAAGATTTCAATAGGGCAGAGCCATTGAAAAGAGATGTGTCCAAAATGGCAATGTGATTGTTCATGTTCCTGTCACTGCATGACATCTTGAACTTCCCATGTGGCTCAAAATCAGAACTACTGCAGATTGTTAAGCTTTGCTCTTGTAACTGGCCGTTGATCTCACTTCTTATTTGTAGTCTCCGTAGACCCCAAATAATCAGATATTTTGTTGATATAGGAATAGAGCCACAGAATGAGAGCTTCAAGTCATAGATGGCTGTAGAGTTTAACAGCACTCCCAGTGTGGATGGCTCTGTGAACCAAATGGTCAGATTACTGTAATGGGTCTTGTCAATCATGGAGGGCAAAACAGTCTTACAATTGCAGATCAGATTTGCCAGACTGTAATCACAGTCATTGTCACTCATATCATCAGGACATGTGCAATTGCGAATTGCGTGCTCCTTAGTGAAAATCAGTGTGTTGTTCATTTGACCCTGTGCAAAACTGTCCTCACAGAAGTTTAACACGGCAACCAGAAAGAAATAGTGTCTGTAGGCAAATACTACCATCATTATTGCAGTTTTCATAGAACAGGCAACCTCATTCTTTAAAAAGAGTGTGAGCTGCTGAGAATAGGTGTGGCATTATTACCATAAAGTGCACTTAGGATGCATTTTTCTTCACCAATGTTATATCTTGTCTGTTTATAGTTGGTTTCCACTTGCAGTAGTCAAGACTAATATGGTTGGGCAGCAAATAATCCTGAGGCCATATTTTTGATACAGTAGGGACTTTTTTTCATTAGGAATAGCCGTCTGGTTCCCAGGGTCATGGCAACAGCAGATGAGCTGAAGTATGCTGCACATGGAAAGTATGCCAAGTAATAAACACTCTTGATGATGAACTTCTCTTCTTCTTTCATCGGTCTCGGTCAAAATAGTTTTGCAGTCTTTAATATAATATCCGCATAAAATATGTGTCTGGAATCATCTTTTTCAGTTACCACAAAGTACAGAACAGAGTTTATCTGTTGTTTTTCTAATTAAACTTCTGTGTAGGTACTTCTTCTTCCTGGAATAGCTGTGGTTAAGCATCCTGATAACATGCAAACACTTCAAGGGATCTGAAACAAGTAAGTAGGTTTTATTTGTTTGGTCAAATTCCCTAAGAGCACAATACATCGTGGGTGAGGTACACTGTTCTTAAATTCAGAAGCCAGTCAATAGAGAATAACAATGAAAGCACTAACTGCATAGCATCACTGATTCCAGAATGCAGGCCTGATAGAATTCTCCTTTCTACTCCATTACTTCTCGGTTATGCAAATTACACTATAACCCTTCTTTCCAGGAAAAGTACAGTTCTTGGACATTTGCCCAGTCCATAAAAAAGATAAAAGGAATTACAAAAAAAATCAGTTAAAACAATACAGAACCTTCATCCCATTCTTTAAAAACTCTCTGTTATATAGGGAACTAGGAGTCAGCTTCAACTTTGTGTTTTTCCAAATCAGCCATTTTTTTTCCTCGTCCCTGTTGTGCAGAAATTATTTTTCTGGGAAACAGTAGCCTTAATCCAATTGTTAGTCCCAATTTTGAGATGCTTTGAGTGCCCAACCTCTTTGAGTCCCCTTTGGGGGAGATAAAGTGGGGTATAAATAAATATAACAACATTAATAACTAAAGTACACTCACTGACTCAACTGAATGATCAGTCAACTTGTATATATCCCATTAACTCAATTGTTTTATTCTACTTGAGCCTAACTGTTGTCCTGAGGCCCAGAGTGGGAATTATATTGAGCTACTGATCCATAGGGGGACCAAGGTGCTTGTTTATAAAGCTTTTGTCCTCCCAACACTGCTAAAAGCCTGCAAAATGTGGACTGTCTACAGACATCACACTCAATTCCTGGAACAATTCCATCAACGTTGCCTCTGAAAAATCCTGCAAATCTCTTGGGAAGACAGGTGGACAAATGTCAGCATGCTGGAAGAAACAAAGATCACCAGCATTGAAGTGATGTTCCTATGCCATCAACTCCGCTGGACTGGCCACGCTGTCCGAATGCCCTATCATGGTCTCCCAAAGCAGTTACTATACTCCCAACTAAAGAATGGAAAACATAACATTTGTGGAGAGGAAAAGAGATTTAAAGATGGGCTGAAAGCCAATCTTAAAAACTGTGGCATAGACACCAAGAACTGGGAAGCCATGACCCTTGAGCGCTCTAACTGGAGGTCAACTGTGACTAGCAGTGCTGCAGAATTTGAAGAGTCATGAATAGAGGGCAAAAGGGAGAAATGTGCCAAGAGAAAGGCGCATCAAGCCAACCCTGAGGGGACCCCCTTCCACCTGGAAACTGATGTCCTCACTGTGGGAGAATATGTGGATCAATCCACCAACAAACCCACCAACAAGACACTAGACTTGGAGGACCATCATCCTCAGGCTATGAGGAATCGCCTAAGTAACTCCCATCATTCCTCACCATTGGCTGTACTGGCTAGGGCTACAAAGTTATAGTCCAACAATACCTGAAAACCCATCCTTTTCTTGAATAAAATAATTTCAGAGACCATTTCAACGGGAAACAGATGAATAGAAAATATCAAAGCTTAAAATGTTTCTGCTGTGGCTTGAATAGGGACAAAAGCTCACCACGTGTTAATGAGCTCACCAATGTATAGTATCTGTGTTATCACCCAACTATTATGTATTCGCAACACTGTTGCACTGAATGTTGGTGCTGAAAACCAGGGTCCTGACGTCAGGCCCTGATAAGAACTCTGCAGCTGGCGGCCTTGGAAGGAGACGGTTGGCTGTTGGCGGGAACATTGTGTGGGGTTTTGGCTTGGCGGGGACTGTTGTTTCAAATGTGGGTGTCTGTATATAAGGAGAGACCAGTCGCTGCTGGTCAATCTCAGCTTTCTGTATGTTCATGTATCCATATACCTTTTTGCATTTCACTGGCTTTCACCCCACTGCTTATATCCCTGTAATTCACTCATGCAAAGGTCTCATTACATGTGGGTTTTTTTTTTTTACAAAATGTCTGTGTTACCATCCAACTATTTTTGATTAATAACTATGATTAAGGTACTGTTCCCTGTACTTATTATTGATGGTTATGATGATTCAAGCAATATCATGTACTTCTATGCATCTAATAAATTGGGCTACAGTACAGGCAGTCCCCAAGTTACAAATATCAGACTTACAAACAACTTGTAATTAAGAACGGGTGTGAGACAACAGGAACGAGGAGAGAAATCTACCCCTCAAAAGGTAAATTCACTCCTGGAAGACTCATCATGGGGAAAAGGGGTCTCCACTGAAGCTTTCCTACCAATCCTTGTTTCCACAAGCCTTTTTTTTCTAAATTAAATTATCATGAGACAGAAAGTGAGGTGGCATCTTCTGAACAATAGCACAGACGCTAGAGTAACACAAAACATGTACCTGTTCCAACTTACAAACAAATTCAACTTGAGAACAAACCTAGAGAACCTATCTTGTTCATAACTTGTGGACTGCCTGTATATACATGCCAAATCAAGCTGTTATTGTACAAAGTATTATAAAACTGCTAGTTTTGCTTCAATGGCCTGCTACCTAATCCCCTTCACTTCCATATTGTTCTAAAGCAATAGAGCAAAGCAGGACAAATTTGCATATCATACTTTTCCATTGTACTTTAAAACAATTACAATCATTTTGAATAAAAATTCAAAACATCTCATGGCAGTGGAGAAGTTAGTACAGAAGACCTCTGTATCTGTCCAAGTGCTACTATAACAATTAATGGGTAAATTCAAGACTCTTGCTTTTTAAAATGGGCATAGGTGGATACAAATTGTCTTCTTTAAAAGTGCCTTATGGCCACTCCAGCATTTATCCCATGACCTCGTCTCATGGTTACAGCTCTGTACTTGGCCCTATTGTTTCCAACCTGGCCATGTTTACATTAGCTATCACCACTGACGGATGAGCACTGTTTTATTCTGAATTTTATGCTGTTATTACATGCTCATGTGTTTTATTCAATTGTATTTTATATTGTGTTTTATGTCATGTCTTGCTCTAAGGTGCCTTGTGTAAGCCACCCTGAGTCCCTTCAGGGAGATGGTGGTGGGATACAAGAATAAAGTTATTATTATTATTATTATTATTATTATTATTATTATTATTATTATTAATTCAGTCTTATTGTTTGAAGGACTTGTATTATCCAATTGTAAGAACTGAACTTATCCTAAAGGCATTTGTGCTTTGCCTGCATTAAGTAACACCAGGGCAGGTCTACTATCTCCTTTTTTGTTCATGAATCTCAAGATCTACTAATCCAATGGCAGCTAGTGATTCTTATGTCAATATAGCAGTAGATCCAACTTAGAATTTCAATCTAAATTTTAAATAGTTCATGGCAATATAGTTCAACAGTTTTGATAGTTTCTTTCCAATTCAGACTAAAACCCAGAAGAAGACGATGAAGAAGAAGAAGAAGAAGAGGAAGATACCTCTTCCACAAGATATAAAAGATCAAAAGGAAAATTTAATCAAGAGTGGGACTGTCATATTATCAGTGGGAAAAACATTAAATGAACAAAGTAAAAATAAGAATATGATAGAAACAACGCAAAGAAGAACTATATAAAAAGACGCAAGAGTGATATCAAATGCCTCATTCAAAGAAGAGGCATTTGAAGATGAACCTACATTTTCAGAAAGCAAAGTAGAAGCTGCACTAAAAAAAGGCATTTGGGAGAAATAGATCACCAAGAACAGATGGCATACCAATAGAACTTCAGACTAGAAAGGCAGAATGCATTTTGGATCTAACTGAAATCTGCCTACAAATATGGAAAACAAAAGAATAAGCCCAAGACTGGAAATGCTTGATATACATTCCAAATCCCCAAGAAAGGGGACACAGCAGATTGAAGTAACCACATGATCATTGCATTCATTTCTCTTACCAAGACAGAATGTGGAGAAATGAAATGGTTTCCAATTGGCAAGACAGTCAGGCAAGGCTGCATTTTATCACCTTCTCTGTTTAATGTGAACACTGGGCTTATATGTAAAACAGGATTAAGACTCAGAGGAAGGCGGTATGAAGATTGTGGGAAGGGACATGAACAATTTAAGGTATGCAGCTGACATTCTAACAACAGAAATCAAGGAAGACTTGGAACAATTACTGAAGAAGGTCAAGGAAAAAGTACAAAGACTGGTTTGCAGTTTATCATTAAGAAAGCCCTCGGTGGCGCAGTGGGTTAAACCCTTGTGCCGGCAGGAATGAAGACCAACAGGTTGGAGGTTTGAATGCGGGGAGCACGCAGATGAGCTCCCTCTATCAGCTCCAGCTCTCTATGCGGGGACATGAGAGAAGCCTCCCAATAGGGTGGTTAAAACATCAAAGCATCCAGGCGTCCCCTGGGCAACGTCTTTGCAGATGGCCAGTTCTCTCGCACCAGACACGACAAAATAAAATAAAATAAAAATAAATAAAGAAAATAATGATCATGAATGAGTTACACATTTGTGAAAGACATTGGAATACCATAGTTCAAGATTTTTCCATACCGTGGCTCAATCCTTAATCAGAATAACTATTGCAGTCAAGAAATCAGAAGAAAACTAGGAATTGGAAGGGCAGCTATGAAAGAACTAGACAAGATCCTAAAGTATAAAAATACATAAGATCTTCTATTTCTACCCATCTTTAATAACTCAGCATGTTTTTCCCCTACTAAACAGCACTATTTAATCCACTTCCTCCCTTCACATCATTTGTGCAGTATACCAGAGATGCTCAGTTTCAAAGGTCAAAATAATCTTGGCTCTAACTGTTGAGGTCAATAGAATTCCCTTGGTAGTGGATCCAGTAACAAATATCTAAGAGTTCAGTTGTGTGTTAACAAGCAGATCCAATTACTCTCCTGCCATATTTTTTTTTCTTATTTTAAGCTTTGTGTCTAGGATCTAAGACAAGCAAAGTAAAACATCTCCAGCTAAATTTGTGTTACATAGAAGCTCATATTTTTGGCAGATCCTTTCGGATATATTTGTCTCACATGTTGTTGTGCTCTGAATGGATTTACCCATCTAAAATAACAGCAGTCCCGCTCATTTTTAAAGAATGATACACTGGCAACAAAGTGTCTCCTTCTTTAAAAAACATAGTTAAAGCAGTTGTATTCCCTGTAGTAAACTATGGATGTGACAGCTGGACCATAAGGATGGCTGAGCAAAGGAAAATAAAATGCTTTTGAATTGTGGTGTTGGAGGAAAATTCTGAGAGTGTCTTGGACTGCAAGAAGATCCAACCAGTCCATACTCCAGGAAATAAAGCCTGACTGCTCAATGGAGGGAAGGATATTAAAGGCAAAGATGAAGTATTTTGGCCACATCATGAGAAGACAGGATAATTTAGAGAAGACAATGATGCTGGTGAAAATGGAAGAGAAAAGGAAGAGGGGCCAACCAAGGGCAAGGCAGATGGATGTTATCCTTGAAGGAGCTGGGGGTGGTGACTGCCGGCAGGAAGCTCTAGCATGGGCTGGTCCATGAGGTAACAAAGTCAGAAGTGATGGAACGAATAAAAAACAATGACAGTGACCAGCGCAAGAATAGTTTTCAACAAGAATAGTTTTCAACCACTGTATGCCGCTTTGAATCACACCAATGGGAGAAAAGCGGGATAAAATAATAATAAAATAATGGGTGTGCCTATATAATATTTTTGCATCAGAGATCAGGCAATATAAATGAGCATTAAGCTTAGTTTTAGCTTTTGTGTCACCTGTGAGTTTCCAGTTATCCACCTAAATGAAAACTCTTACATCCTGAATAAATGTCCAAGACATTTGGTGCCTGAAAATAATGCAAACAGTGCTCTGCCTTAAATGTTTGACAATCTGTGATCCTTGTATAATGCTCCAAATCTGTCTTCCAAGGCAACAACCTTATTCAGCTAATGGGACAGTTATCATACCTTCTCATAGAAAAGGGCAATGGCATCCTTTGAAGGCAAACCTGCTTCTTCCTATTCTGGGGTAAAGTATTGCTGACAGTCTGTGCTCCACTGCACAGTTATGGCAACATGAAGCAATTAAGCCAGTGTGGCTTCCATGGATAAGAAGTAGTGTTTTCCCTAGATGCATTTGAGCCATAGCCAAAGTAATTTTCCTTAGCATTTATTGGGCATTGATGATTTAATTTGGGAAGAAGCCCTTTCATTCTTGAGTTTTTGACCAAGTTGTTTGTCTTTTAGTCTCTTTGTTTTGTGAACTAGATATTCTATAGCTTGTCAATTGCACCACACAGCATTTTATGGGTGTACCGGTCACCCCAGCACAGCAAAGTTTTTGAGACAGTGCCCACATTCTAATGTTAACGATCAGCTTTCCAAAGGTGAGTTTAGAAGATTGAAGATCTCTGGTTTATTCCATGTAGGATTTGGACTGTGGTGTTATCAAACAGAATAACCCAGGGTGTTTTAAAATCACAGTCCCTGGTGTGTCAGAATGAGTGACACACCATTCATTCTTCCCTTTAGGAAATAGATTGTGCAAAGTAAAAATAAAATCATATTAAAACAAATTTCAGGTTCAAAAAAGCCATTATTTATCCATCCATCCATTTTTTTTCTCAATTTGTTTACTCACCTCAAACTTTGGTTGTAGTCACAGTAGCTGAGCTGAGTGAAAGCCATTCTGTGTGAGGATAGTCCTTTGGAAATGCTTGTTTGCCTCTTCCAATTGTCACTACAATATGAACCTAGTATTGGTGGATCCTGGGTAGAAAGTATCTTTGGGTCTCAGCAAGCTTTGCACCATGAAACGCCTATTCTGAGCTACACGCTCTTCTGCAACTTCTGCTCTCCAGACTCTTCACTGCACTGACGCTTGATCCACTGGTTACCTGCATAGATTGTTCATGCATATATTCATGTGCTTTGGTGGTTACAAGACTCCTACTCAAATTACTTCAGTGCTTGCATCATTTGGCATTTGTGGAAATAGTATCACTGTAGTGACTAACAAGCATTTGACAGCAGAAAATGTGTTTGACAACATCCACAAACTGCTACAATCAATCACAGTTCATTTTCTTCATGCTTCCTTTGATGCAGCCGTCCTTTAAACAAAAGAGAGAAAATGAGAAAGAGCTGCAGCTGAGACATATACAAATGTTATTGGTATTTATAAATCTCTAATTATTAAAGAATTTAAAATAGAAAAAGCCATAATGAAATACAACAAAAAGATATAAAATATAGTAGAAAACAAAAGTAACACTAAACCAACATAATAATATAATAGAAAAAGAAGACCAAAAAATAAGCCAAAAAGTAAACAGGGATACAAACACCCACCTTCTGATCAGTATTAAAATAACAAATATGTAATCATTTGCTCTCTAGGTAACTGTAATGCTATTAAGGAAGACCTACTTGTTCCATAATGCTGCTCTATTGAACATTGCAGCTTCCCCCAGTTATTCTTCACATGAAAAGAAGTGAATATTTTGGTCCAAATTAAATGCGTGAGTAATTAACACGTTGTCCACCAACACATTGACAGCACATGTATGTGCCCTATCTGGTCTTGTAATATTTTAGCTTCACAATATATTGGTATAGATTTGTGACTACCGGCAACATCATTATAATAAGTCAGATACATATATTTTTGTGAACAAAAATAAGAAAGATCCAAACGTAAGGGACAGAAAACCTACTGCATATGCCACCCCCATGGAGCTTCTCTCAAACCAGACAATTCATAGCCCTTGATAATGCTTTTTGTACTAATGTTACTCGTAAATCATAATTCCCATATATCACTGAATGTAATGATATAATCAGTGACTATAAAAAAGCAACAAAAATAACAGTGTGTGCCACAAAGCCATTAATTCAAAGCATAGCTGGGTAATAATGATAGCTCTGATTAGAATTTAAAATAGCAAAAATTGCTATTTTTTACTAGCTCTTTTAAAGCTTGTTTTTAAATAGCTGTCTTAAATGGTACATCTTTCCCAAGCCTTACGTGCCATATTAGTCGGCAGGATTATTTGCTGTGGGAGGAATAGGAATCAGTATCTCCCTAGACAGATAGAATGAATGTGGGGGCCTTTTAAAAACTTATCTATTTACTCAATAAATAACATTCCAGTAGAACAAGATAGTAGCTCCCTGGGCCTTCAAAACACACACATCCCTGCTACTAAAAAAGTTAGCTATTTTCCTGTAAATAATTTCTAGGTTGAAGACTACATCAGGAGGCTATGTACAGATGGTTCATTTCACTGTTACTTCTCTCAGACCCTTTAATGTCTGATCCAGATAAATAAATCACTACGGTCTTAGTCTAGAGGAAAATGTTTTCCGAGTATTTCTTGGCATTTCAGAAATCTCTTCAGGCTCTGGTTTCCTGATAAACCATAAATGTTCAGATTAGAGATCAGAATATTACTTTTAAAAATTGTTAATTATAGTTCCAAGCCCCCGAGAAAGTTGCATGTTTGCTGAATTTATATCCCATCTTTTCCTCAAAATAAGACTCAAGATACCTCAAGGTCTAGTAATAAAAATAATTTAAAACACATCACCAACCATTAAAGCAGAACAAAATTAAAAGCACAATAAATGATACATCCACCGTGTAGAATTAATGCATGTTGACACCACTGTAGTTACCAAGGTTTAATATTATGGATTTGTGGGACTTGTAGATTGGTGAGGCATCAGCACCATTTCGGCAGAGAAGGCTAAAGGCCTTGAAAAACTACAACTCCCATGATCTTACAGCATTGAGCCAGGGTTGATGAAGTAGTGTCAAACTGTATTAATTCTACAATGTAAATGCACCCTTAATTTATAAAAGTGTTGCTAACTTGAATATAATACCCAATTGGTAACAAGGAGTGTCCTCACCAACCAGTAAAGTAAGTTAATAGTTAATAATTGCAGTTCTTACATAGTCCTGATCTGCAGGATGGACCCTATCAGACAGCAAAATATTTTGGGATAGCCCCATGATCTGGTTCAAGGTTCCCAGCACTGCTTAGTGTCTAACAGCAAGTAGGCTTTGAAACACACATACATTTTCTTTTCCCCCACTTTTTTTCTGTCATTAAAATATGAGATGACAAAGAGAAGAAACTGTAAGGGTGAAAAAAAACCAACTCACAGGTTTCAGGTCCTGGAGTTCTTTTCTCTTTTAGATAAACTAGCAAATGCCAGTGGAATGATTGCACTGCCAATGTTTGTTTTATCCAAGCATGTGGTATCATAGCAGCCTGTCACTCCCACGAAATGTTTCTACTGGTCCTGATAGAAAGCACTCTCCTGAACTAGAAGTGGGGGAAGAGGTAGAAATTCAGAATTAACGGGAGTTGAAGAAACAAAGTCAAGCATAGAAGAGAAAGTGTGGTTTCTACACAAATGGTAATAATCTGCAAATTCAAAATTAATTTTAAGCTTCCTGTATTGTTGAGTATAGTCCTAGGCAGGGCTGAAAATATGTTTGAAACTGGAGAAAAGTACAGTGGCTAAATGCATTTGGATTATAACATCATTTCTCACAGTTAGTGATATGAACCCAATGTTTTGAAATCCTAGATATTAATTAGAGTACCATTTTTGAATCCTGGCTACACATAACTATCCCACCTTTTCCAAATCCAAGGTTCTCCTCCTTATTCCAAACAAGGTGTACATATTGCTGACTTATTTTCATAAAGCCCCACATATAATTTTAATAACGAATCCCTACATAACTAACACATTTTGCTATCTCTCAGAATGCACGCCCAAGATATCATGACAGATGGCTTCATAGGGACCATCTGCAATGTTCAAGATAGCAGGTGCAGCCTTCCACAAGGCTCCAACTAACTCAGATGCTCACCATAAAAAATGGAACCCATGAGCCTAATCCTGCTTTCTTATATTTGCTAAACGCTGATCAGATGTAGGAGAAATTCACTTTCCTTCTGTCGGCCCTGCATAGAAAAGCCGAAGGGAGAGGAAGGGACGGCCATAGCAGAAAAGCCAACCTGGTTCCCGGCTAACATGCCAAGAGATGGTCGCAAGGGCATGGCCACATCCATATGACCTCAGGCTTGTGAAAGACCATGAGTGTGGGAATCTTGCCCACTTAACCACATAAGTGCCATACATTTGTCCTACAAGAAGTAGGGTTTTCTGAGTTATCCCTCAGAGTTTGGATTACGAACCCTCCAGGAAGTTAAGATCATCTGAGGAGGCCCTGCTCTCGATCCTGTCTGCTTCGCAAGCACGCTTGGCGGGGACGAGAGACAGGGCCTTCTCTGTGGTGGCCCCTCGGCTGTGGAACTCCCTGCCTAGGGATATTAGATCAGCCCCCTCCCTCCTGACCTTTCGTAAGAGAGTGAAAACCTGGCTCTTCGAGCAGGCATTCGGAACCCCGGAATAGTCAAGCTTGAGATGGAGAATGACCCAGGAACGGCCAAGACGATGAAACGGATGAGGATTGGAATGAGAGGATATAGCTCTTTTTAAATTGTTATTGCACTGTCTTTTTTGTCTAAATGCACTTAATTGTTTTTGTTTTTGTATTGTATTGATGGCATCGAATTGTGCCAATATGTAGACCGCCCTGAGTCGCCTGCGGGCTGATATGGGCGGGATATAAGTGATGTAAATAATAAATAAATAAATAAATAAATTCCCCAACAACAACATATTCCATTTGTTTCTGCAAGTGGATAAAATGTTACCTCCTCGGCACTTTGTTTTGGGAGTTAGAACTGTATGCAATAGGACCTTTATCTCATTGGAAAGTCCTTGCGTTCACTGAAACTGGCTCACCTGATTTTCAGCAATACTTCAAACCATATTCTTTTCTATTCCAGGTGATAACAGTCACAGGGATTCCACCAAACTTCAAAAAGCGTGTTTCATCTGCATGTCAAAAAAGGAGATGGTAAAAATAGGTCAAAAGTAGACACTGGCTGACATGAGCAGAATTTTCTTCTAAGGCAAAGCTATAATGGGATACAATTTTTATCTCTTTGTTCTTGATCACCTGTTGTTATTTTTATTTTTTAAAATCTGAAACCAAGGTCCTATCTACTTCTAACATAGTGCATACTGGGCCCCATACACATCTACACCAAGGCTTTGAGCCTCACCGTTACACAACAGCCAAGAAACCACTGTATCCCACCACGGGGAAAATGTGAAAGAGGTGGATATGATTATGAATGGAGACTGCCCAAAAGACCACATAAGCAACTGTTTGAAAAAGCACTGCTACTTGTAAAATTATTTTTTATACCTGTGTAGTGTCCTAACGAGATTCTAGTCCAAATAACAGAGTTGGCTTACATTATCAGTAAAATATTAAAATACTATGAAACAATGCCATCAGTCACAAAACTATAATGTAGAAGGTATAAATTGAGGGTTCAACCCCCCCCCCAATGTATGTGAAAAAAATCTCATTATGTAAAGGTAAAGGTTTCCCTTGACATTAAGTCTAGTCGTGTCCGACTCTGGGGAGTGGTGCTCATCTCCATTTCTAAGCCGAAGAGCCAGCATTGTCCATAGACACCTTCAAGGTCATGTGGCCAGCATGAATGCATGGAGCACCATTACCTTCCCACTAAGGTGGTATCTATTGATCTACTCACATTTGCATGTTTTCGAATTGCTAGGTTGGCAGAAGCTGGGCCTAACAGCGGAAGCTCATCCCACTACCTGAATTGAAACCACCAAACTTTCAGTCAGCAAGTTCAGCAGCTCACCAATTTAATCCACTGTGCCACCAGGGGGCCCTTTTCATGTATACATATATGCAAATGCAGATATTCCAAAAAAATCCCTCAAAAATTCCCAAATCCAAAACACATTTTGGATAAGATACACTCATCCTGTATATATTTACAATGTAACCATTCAACTCTAAGAATTAAAAAAAATCAGAAGAAAATTTGCTTTTCAAACCATAGGGTCATCTTAGCCAACCAGTGTTTTTCAAAAGCCTTGGAAGAGTTCTAAAGTGCATTTGCGCTGTAAAATGAATGCAGTTTGACATCACTTTAACTGCCATAGCTCAATTTTATGAAAATCATGGGAGTTGTAGTTTGACAAGGTCTTCAGCCTTCTTTGTCAAAGTGTGTTTGGTGTCTCACCAAAACATGGTCCCTACGAATCCATTGGATGGAGACATGGCAGATAAAATGGCATCAAACTGCTTTAATTCTATAGAGTAGATGTATCCTTAGTGAAGATCCAGGAAATCACTTAAACAGTCTCCCAATGAAATGGACACGGAAATTACAACTAGCAAAACCTAGACTAACTCAAAGAGCTACATTTTTTTGTCATTCAGGAAAACCACCCAACTTTCCTGAAAGCATTTTTGGCATTTAGAGGCGACTGCAGGATTGGCGGAACTGAAGTAATCCAGATCATAATAACTTTCTAAAGACTGATTTAATTTTTTTTAGTTCTTGGTTGACTATCTTTGTTTTGTAGAGTCAAGATGGTTCAAAGACAGTTCAATTTGTACAATCTTTAAGAGAGCTTGTAAGAGCAGACAAGGTGCCGTTCCCAGCCGCACATATTTATGGCTTATATTTATACAGAATTGCTTGCCGACTGACTTTGTTTAAAATGGGACACATGCCTACCCTATTTTGGCAGGTCTGTCTTCCTGAACAGTTTACAGATTTCTACATAACAAAAACAATGTGACACTGAAGTTTGAGATTCAATGGGGATTGCAAGCCTCATAGTGACAAGAAAAACAACATTACTATGCTTGTTTTGCAGTGAGGAGTTGTCTTCTGCTTTTATAACAATTTGAATTTAGAAACAAACAAAGAGCACTTACGGTTGTTGCTTCCCAGCCGAGGTGGTGTTGCTGTGTTGCTCTTCTCTTTGTAGATGTTATCTCTTACAGTTGCTTTCCTTTCCTTTGACAGCCTGGTTAATCGACAAGGCAGAGAGGAATGTGTGGTCTTGCACTTGCTGTTCTTTTATGCTTTCTGGAAGCTGGCAAGCCAAGCTGCCATGACAACCAGGAGAGACGCCTGAGGCCTATGCCACTTCATTAATAACAAAATAAAATAAACACCTGGATTTATTAACCCTTTTTGCGCACCCCCTCCATTGGCAACATAATACCTTTATATTGTGCCTTGGAAATAACAAACCTTTTCTAGGAAGATAGGTACAGAGGAGTAAAATAATTACACCATGTGTCAGACAATTGTTTGCATTAAGAGGAACTGGATGCATAGATGAGTCCCTTCCTTATATTAGAACTTTTTGAGTAGAAGAGGCTCAAGGAAGAAAGCTCAAGGACATTAGGAAAGGAATGGCAGCTGGAGGAGCATGGATTTCAAGCTAGTCTTTAAACAGACCACCCCCCCTTTTTTTTCTTTTTTTTTTTTGCATTTCAAACTGTGTGCTGATGTGCTAAGTACAGTACCAACTTCTTGGCAGGGATGGCCAAGCACATTTTAGTGCCTGAATCAGAATAGCAAATTATGTGGCACATGCTCACGCAGAGACAACTGGACTCCCTGAGATTGCACAGCAAAGTCATTTTGGCACAAGAGACAGCAGTCTACAGAAGCACCTTTCATAAATTCCAACATCTCACAGATTAAAAACTGGAACAAACGTAGCCAAGCAAAAGCAGACTGTAGTCAAGATGGCTAAAGCTACTTATATGGAAGAACACAGATTCTAGGACAGGTTGCAGCAGCAGCTTCCTTTTGCCTGAGCCTACTGGGAAGGGCAAAGTTCCTCTCCTGTGTCTTGTCTCCTGCTACTGATTTCCGGAGGGCCAACGGGTGGGATCACTTAATAATAATATTCTGTATTTATATCTTACTCTATCTCCCTGAGGGGACTCAGGGCAGATTACAGAACACATATATGGCAAATATTCAATGTTTTCCATATATGCAATTAACAAGGACAGACAATACATAAACAGAGGTAGGCTTTCCCATCTTTTTATCTCCGGTATCTGTGCTCGACTCTGGTCACTGGGTGGTGCTGTCGCTCCATCTTCCATGTGGATGAGCTTTGTTGGCTCTTAGACGTCCTTCCCCTTCCAATCTAATCGCCTGCATGTTCTTATGGGCACTTTTTTTAATTACCTCCCTGCTAAAAGTGGCACCTATTTATCCACTCACATTACTGTTTTCTATTTGCCAGGTGAGCAGAAGCTGGATTGACGGTGGGTGCTCATCCCAACCCAGGTTTGAACAGCCACCCTTTTGATGAGCAAGATTTTCTACAGCTGGCAAAAGTAGGAAAGTGGCATAAATAGCTGGAGACTAGATCAGCTAGGTATTGTAAACAATGTTGGAGGAATTGCTACAGCCTGAATCTCTGCTGTTGAACCTTGACGTTAACTCAGTGGTGCTCAACCTGTGGGTCCCCAGATATTTTGGCCTTCAACTCCCAAAAATCCTAACAGCTTGTAAACTGGCTGGGATTTCTGGGAGTTGTAGGCCAAAACACCTGGGGACCCACAGGTTGAGAACCACTGCTTTAACTGGATCTTGATTTTAGTGTATGGATTATGTTTTGGCTTACAGCCTTGGTGTTGGTGAGATTACTTGGCTTTGAATGTCTTGGAAAGGACTTTGGACTACTCTTGTATCTCACCCTTATTTTGGATAACTTCTGTGGATGACCTTGGACTTCTTTAGACTATGATACGGTGTGCGGCTAGTTAACAGTAATTTGGTGGCCAGAACTCTGGAGGCAATGACCAACCTCAACTCTCCAGCAATAAAAAACCCAATAGTCTATCAAATTAGTTCTTTAATCCCATCTTTCCTTCAGTAAAATTGAATGGTGTGTATGATTCTCTCCTCTTTCCTTTGTGTCTACAACAACCCAGTAAGATAACACAAAAAATGGACACCACATTCTGCTTATTAGCAGGGGCTGTCTGTACTATGAAAAGTTAGCAGCTCTCCAGATATTTTCTGCTGGCAGCTCCACAATTACACATTGCTGGCTAGGGCTGATGGAACTGCACTCAACAGGGCTATAGATGCTCAGGTAGAGGTTTGCTCTTGCTCTATCTAGAAATATTGCTTGAATATGTATGCATGCATGTATGTTAATGGTAAGATACACCAACAATATTGCAGGGGTTACTGGGACTCATTGGGAGTGGTTGTGTTTATGTACCCCGTTTCTTTTCTTATCAACTTTAGATAGGAAATAAGTACTATTTCAAGCCATGTAACTGATTGCTTTATGTTTCTATTTATGGATTGGATCTGGCACTGCATGTTTGCCAACTTTTGTTGTAATCTGCCTAAGTCCCCTTGGGGAGAGTGGGAGGAATATAAATAAAGTATTATTTATTTATTTATTTATTTATTTATTTATTTATTCCTTGACCAAGGAAGTAAACTGGAATTTGGACTTGTGGCTGAAATTGCTGAGAAGGATAAAGGGAGAAATAAATCTATCCTGAAGGCATATCCATGAACATAATGGGAAGGAAAATGTCAAAGGAGTACTGATTAACTCCAAAATCAATTTAACAACACTAGATATATGTCACAGTGAACAAGCTGGCTTGCTTGTATATGGAAAATGTCTGCAAAACAAAATAGTTGAATTAAATCTAAATTGATTCACAGTTCTTTGGTCACCAATTTGTAAACGTTTGTAAAGGAGTCACCACTCTGTAAGGGCTTATTAAATTGATAGTGTAGCTTATAGCTAATTTATTATTTTATTTATTTATTTAATGCATTTGTTGACCGCCGCTCTCAGCCCTAGGGCGACTCGCGGCGGTGTACAACATATAAAAACAGTTTACAAAAAACACAGAGTATATCAACAAACCATATAACACGCTTAATCTAAATTACACTAAACTAATCCGCACCGTCACCACATAGGGATCTACCAGTCTCATAATCCGTATTTCGTTCCGATTGTCATTGTCATTGTCAGTTAGTCTGGGACTAGTTAAATGCCTTCTCGAAGAGCCAGGT